ATATCAGAGTGATGAAAACCAAGAACCTACAACCAAAATTACTCTATCCTGCAAAGCTGTCATTTAGAATCAATGGACATATAAAAACTTTCCCAGACAAGAAAAAGTTAAAGGAGTTCATCACTACCAAACCGTTATTATATGAAATGATGAAGGGTCTTTTTGAAGAAAAAGATAAAATGTATGAACAAACAAAATGGCAATGAATACATATCTATCAACAATGGAATCTACAAACAAAATGAACAGGTAGAACAGAAACATTCTCATAGATACAGAGAACATTGTGTTGGTTGCCAGTTGGGAGGGGGATTGGGGGAATGGGTGAAAAAGGTGAAGGGACTAAGAAGCACAAATTCATTGCTAGACTGACAAACCTCAAAGGGAAAGGGGTTGGGGCGGGGGATGGGAAGAAATAAACCAAAGAACTTATATGCATACCCAATGGACACAGACAATAGCGTGGGAAAAGGTGGGAGGGGGGTGGGAGTGGGGAGGAGGGGGTCAATGGGGGAAAAATGTGGAACATCTGTAATACAATTTACATCCAACAATAAAGATTTGAAAAAAAAAAAAAAAAAAAAGAATATAATTTTATCCAATGGACCAAAAATGCCACACACACACAGATCTCCTTTTAACCTTTTAAAATCCTGTATACCATATGTAAGTATTAGTATAGAGAAATTTCTATATGTACAGTTTTGGTTTTTAAAATATAGAGATACAAATACATACACACAGACATTTGAAAAGGACTAAATAAAATACCTCAGACTTCATTTCCTTATAAGCTATTTCTAGCTCGTTTTGTTTGCAAAGCAGATTGATCAGGTTTTCCTCTTGTAATTTTCTGGCATTCTGTTCTTGAGAAAGTTGCCTCTGAGTTTCATTTTGCACTTCTACAACCTAGGGACACATTTCATTTAGTTTTGGTCTCATACCATTTAAAAAAGTCCAAACCTTAGGAACAGAACATTTAAATAACTATTAAAAGAAAGTAGCCTTCTTAGACACAAGAATCTTTATTTTCCATAAAAAACTCAAATCTTAATGTAAATGATAGTTAAACTTGCCACAGAGCAAAAATACACAACTTTGTTATAATATTTCTTCATGGGCATTTGATTAGTTTCATCACAGTCTCAAGGCAATTTAGTTTGATGTTCACATTAAAAAAGCCAAAATTAACATTTAAGTTAATGGTTAAGCTCCCCCTATTTTCCATTTTTTCATTCAGATGAAGTATACAGAGCATCTATTAGATGCCAAGAATAGTAATAAATTAATAATTTTAGTCATAATTGTCACAGTTCATATTTTTTACTGGATTATTTTTGGTGAATCCTCAACTGAAGATATTTTCCCATTGATTTTTAGATTGAGTGAAAAGAAAGGAGGGAGGGAGAGAAAATAAATATCAATGTGAGAGAGGCACTTTGATTGGTTCCTTCCCGCTCGATCCTGACCAGGGCTGGGGACTGAACCTGCAACCCAGGTATGTGCCCTTGACTCGGTATTGTACCCAGAAGCTTTGGTCCTCTGCCGATGCTCTAACCACTGACCCAAACTGGCCAGGGCCACAGTTCATATTTTGAATGAGATAATTTTTATTTTGTTTTAAACCTAACAATGTACATTAAAGGAAAGGGATATTACAAATACTGATGAAACACTGTTAGAAATAAGAAATTTGGGCTGCGGTGGTGAGAGATGAGCTCCCAGATGTGGAGAAGCTGGGGAGAAGGCGTGGGAGGAAGACGGACAGGGTGGAGAAGGGGGCCACCACCTCAGTCTCCAACCCGCGGGGAGGCCGGCCCCGAGACAGTCGCCAAAGCTGCAGCGCAACTCCCGCAGCAGCCAGGGCCCAGGTGTGGAGAGGCCCCCACACCTGGCGGCCCTGGTTCTGGCACGAGGGGACAGCAAGGTCATCCCCCTGAAGAACATTAAGCATCTGGGGGGGGGGGTCCCGCTCATTGGCTGGGTCCTGCGTGCGGTCCTGGACTCGGGGGTCTTCCAGAATGTGTAGGTTTCAGTGGACCGTGATGAAATTGAGAACATGGCCAACAATTTGGTGCACAAGTTCATCGAGGAAGTTCTGAATTTTCAAAAGATAGCTCTACCTCATTAGATGCCATCATAGAATTTCTTAGTCATCACAATGAGGTGGACATTGTAGGAAATATTCAAGCTACTTCTCCATGTTTACATCCTGCTGACCTTCACAAAGTTGCAGAAATGATTAGAGAAGAAGGATACGATTCTGTTTTCTCTGTGTGAGATGACATCAATTTTGATGAAGTGAAATTCAGGAAGTTCCTAAAGTGACTGAACCTCTGAATTTGAATCCAGCTAAATGATCTTGTCAACAAGAATCGGATGGAGAATTATATGAAAACGGCTCATTTTATTTTGCTAAAAGACATTTGATAGAGATGGGTTCTTACAGGGTGGGAAAAAGGCCTACTGCGAAATGCGAGGTGAGCACAGTGTGGACATAGATGCGGATATCGATTGGCCTATTGCGAACAACGAGTGTTAAGATATGGCTATTTTGGCAAAGAGAAGTTTAAGGAGATAAAACTTTTGGTTTGCAGTATTGATGGATGTCTCACCAATGGCCACATTTATGCATCAGGAGACCAAAAAATAAAAATAATAATAATATCTTATGATGTAAAAGATGCTATTAGAATAAGTTTATTACAGAAAAGTGGTATTGAGGTGAGGGGTTAATCTCAGAAAGGGCCTATTCAAAGCAGACACTCTCCTCCTTAAAACTGGATTGTAAGATGGAAGTCAATGTACAGGCATGCTAGCAGTTGTAGATGAATGGAGAAAAGAAATGGGCCTTTTTAAGATACCTAGGAATACACTTAACCAAAGAAATAAAGGACCTATTCGCAGAAAACTACAGGTCATTGAAAAAAAAAAATAGAGGAAGATATAAAAAAGTGGAAGCACATACCCTGTTCATGGATTAGAACAATTAACATCATTAAAATGTCCATACTACCCAAAGCAATCTATAGATTCAATGCAATCTCCATCAAAATACCAATGGTATACTTCACAGAATTAGAACAAGTACTTCAAAAGTTCATATGGAACCAAAAAAAGACCTCAAATAGCCACAGCAATCTTGGAAAAGAAGAACAAAGTTGGAGGGATCACATTACCAGGTTTCAGGTTATACTACAAAGCCACTGTAATCAAAACAGCCTGGTACTGGCACAAGAACAGGCATATAGACCAGTGGAACAGAACTGAGAACTCAGAAATGGACCCAAGGCAATATGCTCAATTAATATTTGACAAAGGTGGCAAGAACATACAGTGGAGTAAAGACAGCCTCTTTAATAAATGTTGTTGGGAAAATTGACAGCTACATGCAGAAAAATGAAACTACACCATCAACTTACACCCTACACAAGAATAAACTCATAATGGATAAAAGACTTAAATGTGACTCATGAATCCATAAAAATCCTAGAAGAAACTGTAGGCAACAAAATTTCAGACATCATACGCAGCAGAATTTTCACTGATACATCACCTAAGGCAATAGAAACAAAGAAGAAAATAAACACATGGGACTACATCAAACTCAAAAGCTTCTGCACAGTGAAAAATACAATCATCAAAACAGAAAGGCTACCCACTGTATAGGAGAGCATAATTGCCAATGAAATATCAGATAAGGGGTTAATTTCCAATATATATAGATTGCTCATACAACTCAACAAAAGAAAGACAAAGAACCCAATTCAAAAATGGGCAGAGGAACTAAATAGACACCTCTCCAAACAGGACATACAAATGGCCAAAAGACATATGAAGCAATCCTCAACATCACTAATCATCAGAGAGATGCAAATTAAAACAATGAGGTATCACCTCACACCTGTTAAGAATGGCCACCATCAACAAATCATCAAACAACAAGTGTTGGCGAGGGTGTGGAGAAAAGGGAACTCTAGTATACCACTGGTGGGAATGCACACTGGTGCAGCCACTATGGAAAACAATATGGTGTTACCTCAAAAATTTAAAAATTGAACTTCCATTTGACCCAGTGATCCCACTTCTAGGAATATACCCTAAGAAGCCTGAAACACCAATCAGAAAGAATATATGTACCCCCATGTTTGTAGCAGCACTATTTACAATAGCTAAGATCTAGAAACAGTCCAAGTGTCCATCAGTAGACGAATGGATAAAAAAGCAGTGGTACATATACACAATGGAGTACTATGCAGCTGTAAGAAAGAAAGATCTCTTATCCTTTGAGACTACATGGAGGGACCTGGGAAGTATCATCCTAAGGGAAACAAGCCAAACAGAAAAAGACAAGTATCATATGATCTCACTTATTTGTGGAATGAACATAACAGTCTGAGGAATGGGGTAGTCCCAGAGAAGTGGAAGTGGGGTACAGACTGACAATCCCCAGAAGAGGGGGTGGTGGGGGAGAGATAAACCACAGAACTTATATGCATGTATGCATGAACAATGATCATGGACAACAAAGCTGGGGACAGGGCAGGGAGGGAGGGGGAGGTGGTATCAGTGGGGGAAAAAGGAGAAACATCTGTAACAAAAATTAATTAATAAAAAAAAAGAAAGAAAAAGAAATGGGCCTTTGCTGGAAAGAAGTGGCATATCTTGGAAATGGCGTGTCTGAGGAGGAGTGCCGGAAGAAAGTGGGCCTAAGAGCTGTTCCTGCTGATGCCTGTTCACTGCCCAGAAGGCTGATGGCTATATTTGCAAATGTAATGGTGGCCGTGATGCCCTTCGAGAGTTTGCAGAGCACATTTTCCTACTGATGGAAAAGGTTGTTAATTCCTGCCCAAAATCGAAAATAGTATAATGTGGGGAAAGAAAGTATACAGCCTTCTCCAGCTACTTTTATTTTTTATTAAGTACAATTCCATGTTCTAATGTTACAGAGTATGACTTGATTTGTGATACATCTTCATATCTTTTAAAGCAAAGTCGTCTCAATTTGTCATTCCAAAACCTTCTATAAAATAATTGTGCTGTACTTTTCTCTTCAGGCAAAATAATCATTTAGAGATTGATTACAGTCTTTCTCACATCTTTAGTAAATGCAAGCAAGAATCAAAATTGACTTTGTATTGTACCCTGTAAAACGTGTGTGTTTGTGCACTTTTAATGATGCTGATATTTTATTTACTTGGGGATAGTATATCTGGTAAGACATGTTCTTTTATTAATTAATATAATTATATTTCACAGAAAAAAAATAATAAATTTTTACCAAAATTAAATTTACCTGGCTTAAATTCTGTCTGACTTTCTTCAGTTCCATCTCTAGTGTTCTGACAGTGCTTTCAAGGTCTCTGTTCATCTCGGTCTCTTTAGCGTACTGCTCTTCTGTTTTCATTAGCTGCTCCCTACTTTTTTCATGCAATAGATCAGCTTTCTGCCTTTTCTCCTTTTCTTCTTTTAAGGCAAATCTGCAGTTAAATACACTTATGTTAAAATTCATTTTGTTAGAAAACATAAAGTTCATTTTATGATCCGCTTCTACTATGTTGTTTTATTATCCTTATAAAATTTTCTGTTCCCAAATTTATTTCCTTTCTAGATTTCTTGTTTTTATTTCTCTCTGCAATCTCTTCCAAAAGATAGGTATACATAAATCTCTGAAAAGCAGCATTAAAAAAAACATTGTGCTACTGAGTAAGTTTTACTCAATAGTAATTCTGGTATTTATTGTTGGAAAAGAATTTTGAAATTATTCAGTAAAGGTAGAATTGAAATTATTTTTTATTTCACAGTCCTAATTACTCCTCCATTAGGCCAGATGATTTAGTTACTAATTAAAAAGAGAGTTGTTGTTTATGAATAAGTTTATTAATTTACTAGACATAAAAAAATTTTTTAAGGGAGGGAGAGAGGGAGTGAGAAAGAGAGAGAGATAGAGAAACATTGACGTGAGAGAGACATATCAATTAGTTGCCTCCTGTTCAACATCCATGGGGTCCCAGGATCAAACCTGCAACCCAGGTATGTGCTGTTAACTGGAATTGATCCCAGGACCCTTGTCACTCACTGCTGAGCTAGACTGTCCAGGGCTAGAAACAGAATTTTAGATCCACAGAATATTGCAGGTACTCCTAAAAATGATTTACAGTGGCTGGGGGGAGGTAGAAGGTACAGGGCAGATACATGGTGATGGGAAAAGTTTTGACCTGTGGTGGTGAACATACAATACAATACATACTCGATGTGTTATAGAATTGCACACCTGAAACCTTTATAATTTTATTAAACAATGCCATCCCAAGAAACTGAATTTTTAAAAACCCTTTTGAACAAGACAAAATCCATATTTATGGAGTTGATAATAAAGAGTAAAATGAGGAATTAATTTTATTTTTTTATAAGAAAGATGTTGAATAAACTAATCAGTAATCACTTTCTATTTCACTTTTCATTCTGTAAGACTAAAACTGTGTAAATTAAAGAAAACTACATAAATTTTTAAAAAGTATTTGCTGTAGAGAAAAATGCTTATATCATACTTTGTTGGGAATGTAGATTAATATGAACTTTCTTGAGAAGAATTTAGAAATATAGGTCAAAAGCCTTTTCAAAATGTTCTTATACTTTAACCAGTAATACTCTAATAAAGAATTTATTCATAAAGTCTGGCATACAAAGTATAGTCAATAGCATTGTAGTATGTTGCCAAGTGGGGACTTGAAATACCAGGGGGAGCATTTTGTAAAGTACATGATTCTGTAACCACTATGTTGTCCATATGAAAGTACTACAAAACAACACTGGATGGAAACTGTAACTGAAAAAGAGAGCAAAAGCACTTATTCACAGTACATAATCAGAAATGTAGGAACAGATTTGTACAAGAAATATTCCTGGCACCACTAAATATAATGCAGAATAAAAAACAACCACAATTCAATTTGTTAAATAAATAATAAAGTTTCCATACCATGGACCACTATATAATCATTCAAATGTTGATTTGAAAGAATTTACATTAACTTATTACTAGAAGTATGCACTGTTAACAACTTGGTATGTTATTGCCAAGAATTTCATATTCCACTTACTAAAGAAGTGTACTTTCCCATAAAATCCAAAAAGGTAAGTTAGCAATTAAAAGTTTCTACATATCTGTAAACTATAATTAAATATTCAAATATTGCTTGAAAACCAAGTTGTTCAATACCTCAAATTCCAGAGTTCTTGTTCCAATTCCACTTTCTGATGCTTTAACAGTGATTCTATTTCTCTTGTTTCTGATGACTTCTTGTGTAGTCCACTAGCCCCATTTTCCACTGTTTTAACTTTTTGGGTATGCAATTCACATTGATATTTCCCACATTCTTTTGCTCTTTCAGATACAAGAACTGCATCCTGGATTTGAAATAAGATATTTGAATCTACACCAGACAGAAAACAAAAATAGATATAACATATAAGAGGACTGCGCATTTTCATACTCATTCATACATTGAACAAACATATGTTGAGTACCTACAGTGTGGAAGATCGTAGACTAAGCTCTGCAGATGAAACAGATAAGACTCTTGGCTCTAATTTAGCTTAAAGTTTAATAGAGGAGAAAGACAAATAAACTGATCATTATAAATTCAGATGGATAGTCTAAAAAAGAATTCTATGGTCATATAACAGAACTATGTCAACACTGGGCCCAGGGAAAATTTCCCTGAAGAAGACATGGCAACAGTGTCAAATGCAGAATGAGCAGGAAGCAATCAGACAAAGGAGGAAGAAGAGCCTTCTAAACCATCTACAACATGTGCCAAAGTTCTACCAATCTGTCTCTAGTGAGATGGAGTAACAAGTGCTGATTTACCTTCCTACCTGAAACAATCAAAACCAAAATGGACAAAAAAACAATGAAAACGTACTTTCAGGACAACGGATTTCAGGCAGTGAAGGACAATGCTTTCTGAAACAAATGAAGTGAGCCTAATGTATGTCCCAGCTCACTGACTTGAGAGAAATTCCAGGCCAAAACACAAGGAGAAGGAACTGAGGTAGAGTCTACAGTCCCCTTGAGTTAAGGGATGAAGTTGAGGGTCTGGGGAAACCAAGTCAAGTAGAGCTTGCAGGTCAGAATGCTGGAAAGGAGAAAGTGGAACAGAAAAGGGCTCTGGAGATCTGCAGAGGGTATTCAGCTGAGTAATGAACAGTGCATACATGGAGGAAATCAATCGAGACCACGGGAAAAACACATCTGAAAAGAGTGGAGGGAGACAGTGCCTGGTGCTCACCCAGCTGCACCAGGAACACGGTCTGTAACCATTAGCCAGGCTGGAAAAACCCGTAACCCACAGGACAATGACCAGACTCGTCAGAGAGGTCTTGCCTCAGTAGTGCCCTCAGCCGAGCAGTGCTCTGGATTCACCTAACAAATCATAAGAGCAAGACTGAAAGGAATCAAACTGCTTGTAAGTAACTTAACTATATCCCAAAACAAGTTCCAAATATACCTAGAAGCACGAAAGCTATTTTGTTAATAAGAAAACAAGTAGCACTTAAGAAGATGTGAATTCTGTCAGCCATGAAAAGTACACTGGATGGAAAAAATGCCTATTAGACATCAGAAAAAAAAAAAAAAGATTAGTAAAATTGATAGCAGTGACGTGTGAGAAAATTTCAAATGGCTAATGTATATTTCATGAAAGAAGCAGAAGGAAGGGACAGAACAGAGTATTTGAAGAGCCCTGGCCAGTTTAGTTCAGTGATTGGAGTGTCAGCCTGCAGACCAATGAGTTCTGGGTTTGAGTTCGGCCAAGGGTACTTACCTCCAGTTGCGGTTTGTCCCTGGCCCTGGTCGGGGTCATGTGGGAGGCAACCAATTGATGTGTCCCTCTCACATCGATGGTTGTCTCTCTTCCCTCCTTCCTCTCTCCCTCCATCCCACTCTATCTGAAGATAAATGGAAAAGTATCCTCAGGAGAGGATTTAAAAAATGGTATTTCAAGAAACAATGGCCAAAAACTCTCTACAACTTCATGAAACTATAATCCCACAGATCTAGGAAGTATCTGTTACAAGAGAAGAAATGGAAGTAAACTATTATAATTTGTTATAGTATATGTGTTGTGATATAATATTACTTGAAGGGGCATTGTGATAATTTAAAGTCATTTACCATAAACCAACCCTGAAGGAACCACTACAATAGCCAAGAAATTATAGCTAATAAGTAAAAGACAATGCAACTAAATCATAATAATTTCTTGATTAATCTTACAGTAGACAGAAAAAAAAAAGAAAATGGGCACAAAGCAGATGGGACAAAGACAATTCAAACAGCATGGTGACAGATTTAAAATCACCATATCAATTGTCACATCAAATGAAAATGGTTTAAAAACCTCAAGTAAAAGACAGATTGTCCAAGTGGATATAAAAGCAAGATGTAACTGGATGCCACCTGTAAGAAATGCACTTTACATGCAAAGACAATTTTTTAAAACATAGAAATAAGATATATAACACTAACACCTGACAAAAGAAAACTGAGTTAAAGTGGCTCTATTAATAACAACCAAAGTAGATTTCAGAGTAAAACAATAGTATCAGCAGCAATTAGTAAAGTCACTGCATAAAGAGCAGCATAACAGCTGTAAATGATCTTGCACCAAATAACAACTTCAAATTACATGAAGCAAAAAATGATAGAACTGCAAACAGAAGTAGACAAATTTATAATGAACATGTGAGATTTCAATAGCACTCAATCAATAAGGGACAGAACAAGTAGCCAGAACACCATCCTGGATAGAGGAGACTTGAACACCACCATTCTCTCAAGTACCTATGGGGCAGTGAGAAGTAATAGCTGAGTTTTAAACACGATGAGATCTGAATTTTTAAAATATATAATAATTATGGTTGCAGTGTAGACTAAGGTTCCAGGAGGAGAAATAGAAGAAAAAACAGTCTGAGCTTATTTCAGTATTCTGGGAGGGAAATTATAACTTCACCTTGGGTGAAGGTATCAGAGACGAGCAGAGTCAATAACCACACGCGATGTTGCTATTCACACTGAGAAAAGTACAGTGGAAATTATCATAGCTCTTTGGCTGAGGGCATACAATCGCTCTCATTTTATTAAAATATAAAATGTATTTCCCAGATAAGTAGCTAACAATACTATCCTTGAGGTGCAGAACTAGACAAGGAATCTATATATTACTACACTATACACAAAAAGGCTTTCTATTTATACAATGGTGCTACCTTTAAAATGCTTGCAAGGTTGTTTAATTAGCAATGTGAAATTTTCACACTTGGAGTGAGGTGACTGGCAAGGTTCTGAAACTGTTTCAATTGAGTGAATTAAGTCATCAAGGTCATCCATGGAATTAATTTTCTCTTTGACCTAAAAATAAATAATTCTGTTTTTCAAAATGTTCCCAAAATATTTCTAATATATACTAGGTGTACACCTTTTCAAAAAAGCAAAAACATAGCTATTCTTTAAAAACAACATTTTTATAAAAAATGTACCTATATTAATAACTTGAGTTTCTAAATTACTTTTCAAAGTAAATGTCTTTACAACAAAAAATTTTCTATTTTTTCACTATATCTTTTTTAATGTAATTTTTTACTACAAATAATATTTTTTGAAAATATTTTATATACCTTATACTCTTCATAAGATATTTCCTTTAAAGACCTAAAAAAAAAAAAAAAGTAAAGAAATCAAACAATTCTTTTCAGACAAATATTAAATGCTTAAAATACAAAGAATATTTAAAGCTATTGTTTTGTATATAAAATTTCTTCATTTATAACTAATTTTTTTGTAAGAAGAATTAAACAATAAATGAAAAGTTTAACTAACATTAAGGGACAAAGAAAGTATGTTACTAATAATATTAATACAAAGAGTTAAATTTCAAGCTGAGAATCAAAGCAGAAAGAAAAGTACATTGATTGTTATTTGCATTAAGTTTTTGTTTTATTTTGTATTTTGTCATTTTCAATAAAAACAACTTTTACTAAAACCTATTTGAAAAGTATGATTTAAGTCCTAAAATGAAGGAAACTCATTTTTAATAAACATGATATTCATTTTTGAGGACTTAGCATGCAACTACAATGCATTATTATAAGCAGTTCACATGTTTTAAGGGCATTTAAATTCTCCCACAAATGCTGGAAGTAGGCAATCTATTCAGTATCTTACAAAGCAAGAAAACGAGGCACAGAAAGCCTAAGTTACTTGCCTAAGCCAGAAGCAGACACCTTAAACCCAGGAAATCTGGCTTCAAAATAAGTGTTTCACAATGTGTCTTGAAAGTAATATTTATTTTTAAGTGTTTTTAAGTACTATGATAGCATATACATCTATATTATCATTCCATTTCTAGTTACAAACAATAATTTCTGAAACTTATGCATATTTTTAAAATAAGAAAATTTTACAACTAGGCATTGAATTATTCTTTTAATAAATTAAGGGTTTGCTTTTTCTAAACAAATTCATCAACCAGTATTCAATCATCCATTCAACTGTTTATTCATGCCTTGGCCCTACACTTACTGAGCACACAGCATGTGTCAATGACACCTTTGTTACAGAAGGCATGCTATTTATACTTTAGAACTTTATAATACAAAAGTAGTAATCTGTGATAGTTGACTAGTTTAACTTTGTATTGTACATAAATAAAATCTTCCTCTTTTTCCAGAACCGATAAAACTCTTAATTTAATATATGCTAATATTTTAGAGTACCTTATAACTACTATTTAGGAAGATACTGTCAAAGGCACTGTAATGTCTAGAGTCATTAAGAAATGATGAAATTCTATTCAGTATGGTCTCAATGTTTATATATTCATTATTATATAATTTTTAAAAATCTATGATAGTATGACTTTTAAGTAATTATCTGTATATTCGGTATATGACAATATTCACTCTGCAAATGATTCTGAATGAACAACTTCTTACCATAAAATTATGCATTATAGAAATACTATGGACAATTAGTTTACTATAATCTTTAAAATACAATGTAATACAGCCCTGGCCGGTTTGGCTCAGCAATTGGAGTGTCAGCCTGTGGACCAGAGAGTCCCAGGTTTGGTTCCTGCTAGGGGCACATACCAAAAAAAAAAAAAAAAAAAAAAGAATGTAATGCAATCAACCAGCTTTCAAATACTTAAAAATGCAAATAAACTTAAATTCAATAAACAAGTTTTTCTCTCCTGGATGTTTTCTAACAACATACAAACATGCTCTAGAAGCTCCCATCTTAAAATAAAAAATTAAACTCCCTTGAACTCTACATTAGTCTTTTGTCATCATCCATTTCTCTATTGCCTTTCCCAGTAAAAATTCACTAAGGTGTTGTTTACATTATTCACTGCAGTCTGGCTTCTATGGCAACTATTGATTAAATATGCTTTTTGTGCCTGGCCAGTGTGGCTCAGTAACTGAGCATGGATCCATGCACCAAGAGGTCACTAGTTTGATTCCTGGCCAGGGCGCCTGCCCAGGGTGTGGGCCTGATCCCCAGTGGGGGGCATGCAGGAGGCAGCCAATCAATGTTCTCTCTCACTGATGTTTCTATCTCTCTCTCCCTGTCAATAAAGAAAAAAAATCTTTAAAAAAATGCGCTTTGTCAGAGTCACTTGTCCTCAACTTAACCTTTCAACAGCATTCAATACAGTTGAGTATTTTCTTGCCTTGGCCTGTATACTACATTATGCTATTTTATTTCCAGTAAAAGTAATCACTACAAATACTCCATTACATAGAAATAAAAAACATATAGATTCCCCCTTTTACCATTTTGATCTTTTTCACTTAAAATGCTGTTATCAGTCACTTGAAGTAGACCACCAGTTAGTGAATCAGCCTTCTCAAGCATTGGTGCAATCACAAGCTCTTCTGACGTTCATTTTTCACTTTCATATTTCTTTACTAGCAGTTTGTGAGGCATAACTGCTAGGTTTTTAAAAGTCTATAAAAAACGTATGTTTTCTAATAATACTATGGATAAAGAATGTAAACAATACCTGGCCGATGTGGCTCAGTGGATTGAGTGCCATTCCGTGGATTGAGAAATCCCAGTTCAATTCCCAGTCAGAGCACATGATGGGTTGTGGGCTTGATCCCCAGTAGGGAGGCAGCCAATTGATGTTTCTCTCTCACATAGATGTTTCTATCTCTCTCTTGCTACCTCTATCTCTAAAATATCAATAAATCATACTAAAAAAAAGAATTAAAAAATTTGTAAATTCCAACTCTTACCCATCTTCTTATTAATTCACAAAAAAGTTAAAAAATACCAACCACATGCAAAATATGCTCATCCCTTGCTTTATTTTATTTAAAAATATATATTTTAAAATCTCCTTAAAATTTTTTTCTTTATTGATTTTAGAGAGAGAGGAAGGGAGAGATAGAAACATCGATGAGAGAGTACATCAATTGGTCACCTCCTGCATGCCCCCCACGGGGGATCGGGCCCATAACCTGGGCATTTGCCCTGACTGGGAATTGAACTGTCAACCACTTGGTGCATGTGTCTATGCTCAACCACTGAGCCACACGGACAGGTGCACATCCCTTGCTTTAAAGACAGATATACAAGTTTAATACAATGTGATATTTAAGAGTTGACATATGAAAAGTTTTAAGTGAACACAAAGACAATTTGTAAGAAAAATGTAAAATAAACAGAGGAAATCACCAGGAAAAAAATAGAAGAGAAAGCTGTTCTACGTAGGGAACAGAATGTGAGCACAAAGATTAGACACATAACAACCAGGGGTTTTAGGAACTTGAAAGAGAATGTAGAATCAAGAAGCCACTAGATTTGGCTTTGAATGTGTTTATTCAATAAGTGACCGCAGGCCTCACTCACCAATCAAGCAATGTCACCCAGTTCCTTCTGAAAGAAAAGCAAATCAGAGACAATCTTATTTGAATAAACGTGCCTCAGACTGCCAACCAATCAACACTTGTCTCATCCGATGAACCATGCTGCTTCAGATGATGTCTTCCCACCTTCCCTCTGAAAGTCCACTAGTCCTCAAACCCCATTTGTCCTGACTCCATGGAGAAGAGGAGCCGGCTGCAGTGTGAGAAAAGGCTGTGCGTGATCTGCATAGCTCTCCTACTACAGACTTCAACTACAACACACTTCTCCTACAACACACTTCAACTTTGTCTTTTTATTTCAGATATCGAGGACTCATTAACCTTTGCAAAATGTTGTTCAAGGCCTAGAATAACTTACCACTATTATATTTTCTATTTCTTAATAAAATTTAAATAAAGCTTGTTATTTCTTTGATCCATTTTGCCATAATTAAAACTACTAGAAATATCAATTATAAAATAGTAAGTACTATATGGGACTTTGTTCCCCAAATGGAAAAACAGAGCTTCTTAGAAAAAGCCAAATAGAATATTTAAAATGCACATAATTACATAATTGTCAGAATGTTTCCACATCAAACTTGTTTTATGTTAAAGTGAGAATTAGCATGTTTAAAATAACATAGTAGGTCAAATCCATTCACTGAGTAAATATTTGTGCAGTACTGTATCTTAGGCCCTTTTCTAGGCACTGAGGCTGTATGACAGTGAACACACAAAGATCCTAGTCATGAGAGTGAAGTAAGCACACAATAACAATAAACTAGATGGACCAAACATACAGCATGTTAGAGAAGACAAAATAAAGCAGAGAAGTAAATAATATTTTGATGTACTGTGAGGGGAGGGATGGGAAAAATCTTAGGCTGGCCAAAAAGTAGCTTGTAAGTCAAGAACTAAAGGAATAAAAAAAAAGTGTGCCATGAAGCTACCTGAGGGGAAAGCATTGCAGATCGAATCAACAGCAGGTACAGAAGTATGCCTGGAGTGTTTAAGGAATAGTAAAAAATTTAGTGTCAATGGAACAGTTTGAAAGAGATAGAAAATAGAAATTGAAGTCAGAGGCAGAGATCTGAGATGCACAGATTATGGGTATTAGGAAGCATCTGGCATGTATTCTGAGGGAAGCAGGCAATTAGAAGGTATGAGCAGAGGAACAAAATAATATGACTTATCTTTTAATAGGTCCACTGTGTTTAGAATTGATCAAAAGGGTAGACTTGATGGAGAATAAGTAAAAAGAGAAGGAAGAGAGAAAGGGAGGAAGAGAAAGGGGAAGGAAAGAAGGAAGGAAAGAAGAAGGAAGGAAGGAAGAGAGAAGGGAGGGAGGGAAGAAGGGAGGGAGGGAAGGAAGGAAGGAAGGAAGGAAGGAAGGAAGGAAGGAAGGGAGGGAGGGAGGGAGGGAGGGAGGGAGGGAGGGAGGGAGGGAGGAAGGAAGGAAGGAAAGAAGGAAAGAAAGAGGGAAAGAAGGAAAGAGGGAAAGAAGGAAAGAAGAAAGGGGGGAAAAAAAAGAGAACCAATAGTCACCTCTTACACTAATCTATACAGCAGATAATAGTGGCTTGGTCCGGGAAGATGTGATTGGCTTCTGGGTGTATTTTGAAGGTAACCTGACAAGATATGCTGACAGATTAGATGTGAGGTGCAAGAGACAGTGAAAGACAGGGGTCGAGGATGACACCAAGTTTTTGGCACAGCAATTGGAACAGTTGTCATTAACTCAAACAGGAAAGACTATGTGAAGGGCAGGTGTGAGAAAGGGTATCAGTGGCTCAATTTTGGACATCTAAAGTCTGCAACACCCAAGAGCTATCCAAAAAGAGTCATCTAGTAGACAGTTTGATATATAGGTCTGAAATTAAGGAGAGAGATCTAGTCTGGAGATATAAATATAAAGATCACGAGTATATACACATTAGTAAAAGGAATGAGGAAAAAAGATCAAGAACTGAATCCTGGGACACTGAAATGTGTAAAAGGTGGGAAATGGAGACAAACAAACCAAAGGAAAAAGGACAAACCAGAGAGGCAGAGGGGAAACGAGGTAAGTATGTTTCCCTCTTTGAAAATTCAAAGTCCTGAAAGCCAAGTGAAAACAGAGAGAGTTTTCCATTGGTCAAATATTGATGACAGGTTATGTAAAACAAGTTCTAAGAAATTATGTCTGGTGTATTAAAGTGAAAATCACTAGTAACACAGAAAACAATTTTGGAAAAGAGGTGGGACTGAAAATTACTAGAGTAGGTTCAAGAGTGCGAGGAAGAGGAAGAGAAGTTAGAATCCGTGAGTATAGATACATCTTTTGACTTTGTAGCTACGTGGCATGATCATGGATGACCTAATTTTCTTGTTTAGTTGTAGTTTTCAATCCTTTCATAATGATTACAAAATATTTTTGTAATGCTTAAAAGTTTTTTAAATTGCATACCTGTGGCACCAACATGGTTTAAAAAAATGCCAAATCAGATATAAAATAATGAATTCACAAATACAATTAAAAGACCCCATGAAAAGGCCTCATGAATATCAGCTCAATTTTGAATCTGTTTTGTAGAAAAATAACAATTACCTACTGTTAAATATTGCTATAGGCTTACCTATCAGAATCACCTTTTTTCATAATAGGAAATTGCTGGTCATCAGCTTGTTTGCAATCTCTTTGCTTAATTAATCCATTGCTGTCATCACCAGCAACTTTATTTATGTCTTTGGTTACCTTCATTTTACTAATTTTCTGTTTCTCGTTTTCTTCTTCAACCTTTGATGAAAGTGTGATATTCAAGATACAATTACTTTATTAATTAAAAAGACCTTTTGTGTTTTCATTAATTTTATCATTTGGCTCTTACTTTAACTGCCATAACTTGAATTAATAAAAATATTTTTGTGCTTTCTTTAATTTTATTATGGCAGGTTTTTGAAATGGTTGTAGATTCTGCCTCATTTCTGCTTAAGAAGCAGAATTTGCCATGATTTCAAAAAGGGTTTTCTGAGTGCTGTGCTCTTATTCACACCACATCCACTCTGCTACCTACCATTCCCCCTCCTCGCCCTCCCCCACTGGTCTAGCAGAGACAGAGGAATAAAAAGTCAAAGACACAGAATTTGTCCTCTGTTTTCCCACCTGGCTTATGCACTATAGGACCAGATTTAGAGGATGTAACATTGTTCTTCAGGAACAAATGGGGAGCTTTCCTGTTTCTGCACAAAGCTATTTTTTCCCTCACTGCCTTTTTTTCTTCTTCTAAATCCAGTCCACTTTATTTGAAACTTTTCTCATGTCCCAAATTTACATGACAACACTCACTGAAAATGTAGTTTGGATACAAAACACAGGCGGAGGTATCACCAGTCGGACATGATCTGTCATCCAAAGGTAGATGACACATATTTGGTCATTTAGCACCTGGCCACATGCAAACAGTGAGACCCCCAGTGGCCACACCACCCCCTTAGAAAGGTGCTGGGCTCAAATGTTTCCAGTCGGAGTCACACTGGGATGGGCAGTGAACAGAGGGACAGCTGGTGCCAGAGCATGTCATATCTGGCACACACACCCATGTGTGAACATGCACACACCTGCACACGCCTGCCCAGAGGGCACAGTAGGGGTCTCAGCTCACCCCGTCAGGGTCTATGAAAGCCACTGCCTTGGCAGGGTTAGCACAGCAGCATCTCCTCCTTCGGGCCCGTGTGCTAGGCTCTGGCCTCAGCTCCATGAACGAGTGTGACCGAGCGTGTCTGAGGAGCTGCATGTGGTCACTGCATCCCCAGGTCCACCAGGCCTGGAGCAGTGCACAGCAGGTGCCCTGACCCTGTGATTTTCACACAAAACTCCACACTTGGGTGGTTTCAGAACGAGCTTTAGAAAGTGGAGTCGTTTAGACAACATTTAGATGATACTGGTCAATGAGTGTCAGATCCAAAGTTTTTCTGTTTGTTTTGATTTTTTAACATTCTGTGGGTATTTGTTCATCATGCCCAGCAGACCAGGGACCCTTCTAGTTAGAATCCTGTGTCCACAATGCAAGTAGGACCAGTGGCAATCCGAGAGGGGGCACCCTAGCCTCTCCATCACAGTCCTGTCCCTTTCCTTTCCAGGGGGCATGAAGAATCGGGAAGGCCATGAGAACTATAAGCCCTACATCCCCATCCTCATCTCCCTCACCTCCAGTATGATGGCTAAAATCGTCCCCATTGCCTTTTACAACTCTTTTTCTTTAAGAATTTTGAGGGTGTCAAAAACATGATGATGGTATTCTTAAAATATAGGAACCAAAATTTACCACAACAAAGGAGCAGAGTAAACCTGATGAATTGTTAATGTATAATACTGGAAAATGAGTAATGCTCCCCAAATTTCACGTACAATAACAATAGAGTTTTATAGCTAGAGGATGTAGAAGTAATTATTTACTTTAGCCCCATTTTTACTGATAATGGGAATAAAACCAAGGTGAAATGATCTGTCCAATATTCCTACAGATGCATCACTAGCACATTATGGCAACATATGAGATGGTACAATTCTATAATGTCGAGTCAGATAAATGAACAGAATATTCATCAATCAGATAAATTCACTATGACTTTTGCAAAATAATTTTATGCTTTAGATAATGGGAAAACTCATCCAATTTTCTTTTAAAGGAGAATAATATCTCAAGTTTTTTCTATCTTTAAGAGTCAATACACCTCAAAACCCAGTTTTCTCTTTTAGAGATACTGATTTTATCACAATTTATGTAACCTGTATGATAAAAATCTTACATGTCAAAATTTAACATGCTTTTATTTTGGAAGGTATTCCATCTTTTAAAACATTTTCAACAGATTACAATTTACATTTACTGTTATTCTGTATTGGTTTCAGGTGTGCAGCATAGGCAGTAGGCATTCATATACTTTACACAGTGATCCCTCCGATATTTCAAGTACTAACTTGGCACTACATATATATATTACAATACTACTGACTATTATTTCCCATGCTGTACTTTACATCCCATGACTACTTTGTGACTCCCAATTTGTACTTCTTAATCCCTTTACGGTTTTCACCCACTCTCCCAAATGTGCCTCTGGCAACCATCAATCTGATCTCTGGTGTCTATGAGTTTGTTTTAATTTTGTTTGTTAGTCTATTTTACTCTTTACACTCCACATATAAGTGAAATTACAGTGTTTATCTTGTTCTGTCTGACTTATTGCAGTTAGCATAATACCCCTTAGGTCCATCCCTGCTGTCTCAAATAAGATTTTGTTCTTTTCTATGGCCATACCATACTTAAACAACATGATATAAAGTTTTGATTCAACAAAAACATCTTAGAGTGATGATAACAATAATATATGTGTAAGTATATATGTTTGTTATTAAAGATATCTCAACAGTCTTTTAATAATTACATACAGTGCCCAGTGGGTACTTGAAATCAGGGGTACTGCTTTGTACAGTATATGATTATCTCACCACAATGCTGTAGACATGAAACTAATGTAATATTGAATGTAAACTGTAATTGAAAAGTGAAATAAAATAAATAAATAAAAAACAAAGGGGTCATGATAGAATTCTAGCTCCAGGGCTTTCGGTAAAGCACAGAAGACTGCACACAGGGAAACACAAAAATAAATGAGCTTAGCTGGGATATTTGTGTATATCCCTTCTCTCAGTCATGGCTTCTTTCCATTTTATGATTAATGGAATGCAATTTATATTTAAGTCAATGACTTAAAAAAAACATACTAGTGTTTATTACATTTTTAAAGCAATTTCCTTTATGTTTTTCTCACGTTCAGAGAAGTTACATGATACATAGCTAAATTAGTTTCCCCATTAATAAGGAAGAGTGACAGAGAGACTGAATTAAAAACCAAACATGAGAAGGTTTTCCTAAGTTCCTATTATTTGGATGACAGAAATAATCTATTTATACACATAATAACATATATAGACAACACCATGTTTCACAGAAATGTTTTTCAGAAGCAGAAAATCAGGATGTGTCAGATAATTGACAAAGAGTAGCAGCAAGTGAAACTCTACCTGTTTCTGAAGTTGAAGTTGCTCTTTTTTCAAAGCCAGGAGCTCTAGTTTGAACATGTCTATCTCATTCTGAAACCTCTGTATATCTTGCTGCAACTTTTTATTTGCATACATGTTAGGTGTTCTGTCACTGTAGGGTGGAGAGGAACTCATGTCTTCTATCCCATATTTCATGCTTTTACAGTTACTAGCACTGCAATTGTCTATAAATAATGGCTTCTGGAACAAGTCTGCATTTGGCTTTGTTTCCTTATAAGTATTTGTAACTGCAGAAATAGCATGCTTTTTTATTTGAACTGTGTTTTTTATATGATTGCAGTGTGGCAGCCACAAATCAAAAGGGCTTTTCAGAACACGAGACTGAGGTGTATGTCTGATGCCTAATTTCCAGTTAGTGGTATTTGGGTTCATATTTTTTGTCATCTGCATACCAAACCCTTGGTATTCTTTCATTTCAAATGTAACTGCTGGGTTCCTTACTTTATTTTCTGCATCATTATAAAACCTCTCCTCGCTTTTGTTAAAAACTTGTTCAGTGTCTGATTTGTGCTTATTTTCAGAAAGTAATATCTTTTCTCTTGAACATAGCTTAGAAAATGAGCAGGGAGCATCTGTTGAGGATCCACAGTATGAATGAGATGGAGAAATATTTTCAAGAGTGGGCTCTTCTCGTTCAGGAGATGTTTGGAATACTGCAGAGACAGACATTCCAAATGCATCTTTTTCTTCACAATCAAGTATATTATTTGTCAAATTAGAAGGTATTTGTCTTAAGCTTGGTCCTTCTTTAGACTTATCACGTAGTGGCTCTTCCTCAGGGCAAGCAGCAACTTTGTATTTTTTACAAATTTCACCAAACTTCTGCTTTAACTCATTTGGCATAAGTTGTAAATTCTTCCTCTGTTCTAATTTGCTTTGTTTGATCCACATTTTCTCATACTTTTGCACAGAAGGATATCCTGAATATGTAGACATATCATCACTGTCACATTCCCTATTCATTTCTGATTCTGGAGACATTTTTTCCAGATGCAAACGTGGAAGCCTAATTTGCATTCTTTGATTTTCAGATGTCTTTTCTGTCTGGCAATATGTTTGTGAAATAACTTGATCCTTAAGTAATCAAGTATAGACAAAGAAAAAATTAGAACAGAATCAAAATTTAACCATTAGACTTCTCATTCTATGTATAGCTACTCTCAAATCACTAGATTGTAATTAAGGCATTAAAAATAACTTGCCTTGGTCTAAACAAAAAGAAAAACAGGGACCCTCACACCTAATTTTGTCACTGTTTGTACTGAACAACTTATTAGATGTTAAATCTACCAAAAATCAATTAGTAGATGAATTTTAATGTCAAAAAGTCTTCCTCACTTACATTATTTCACCTCATCATATCTTAAATAGTAAGTCCCTACAGTGCATTAAAAAAAGTTGGTGTGGAGGTGGCGGTGGGAAAGAATCCAAGATGGAAGCCAAGTAGGTGAAAGTTACATTCACCTCCTCCCAGGACCAAACTGGAATTACAACTACCAACCTGAATAACTAACCTAAGGCTAGCTAAACACATGTCTTATGACCAAGGATTTATAGAAGAAGCCACAGCTGGTAGGAGGGACCAAGATGCAAAAAGGGCTGGTCCTGCACCCACACATGGTGATTGAGAGCTATCTCAGCTGCAAAGACCCCGCCTCAGGAGTGTGGGGTTTCAAACCCCAGGCTGAAATACACAGTCCGGAACACAAGAGTAAATAAAACAAACCCACATAAAGTTTGGCTGCAAAAATCAGCAGGAATTCTGTTTGCCAGGGACAGACTGGAGTCTGCTAGAAACCCAGGAGCCCTCTTGTCTCATTCCTGTCACTCACTCTGGGCCTATGAAAAAAGGGCAGTTAGGAATGAACTGCAGTCTTATAAGGAGAGATTGTCCTATGTGTTCCTGGGGAAAGAGCTGAAGGGACAGCCTCCAGGGTTCCCTCTCTGTGCTGAGTAGCTCTCCCACACTGCCCACAGATGCCATCTTTCCTGGGTTGAGCACTCCCCTCGACAGAGCATCAGAATGGAGAATGCTCTAGCCCCACCATCCTAATTCCATGTTGCTGCCTTGACAGCTCACACCCTGCAAAGGAATCAGTTGTAAAGGTCCAGGCAGACTCAGGGTGGGGGTGGGGGGTCAGGAGGCTGTGGCTTGGGGAAGGGCTCATATTTCCCTTGCAGGTCAGATTGGATCCACCGTTCCTGTTCAGAGAGCTCTCTTCACATGGACAAATCGTTGTCTTCTGGGGACTGATAAACTCTGCTGGCCTTACCCTGATGACTCTCTGAGGCCTCACCCTTCCAAAAAGGTCAGTGGGTACCTATTGGTTGGTAGCTGGCATTTGTGTACCCTGGGACTTTTGCTGAGTGGGTTCATACCCAGAAATGAAGCTGAGTTTGAAATCTGTATCAATGTGGTGAACATCACTCACACCTGCCTGGTGACTCACTGGCACCTTACCTCAGGAAACATGCATACTGCCTGAAGCTTTTTCACTGACTGAGCCCAGCAGAAGCCAGCAGGTGGAAGTAGATCTCTGAGTGACTAGGGCCTTTTGCTCACCTGCCCTTGTGCTCAGTGCTGGTTAAAGGAGGTATTGGTGTGCAGCTTGGCTCCTCCCAGGCACATCCAGGCCCAGAAGAAGCAACCACAAACACTGGATCAATTTATAGTTCCACACAGATAGCCCAGGGCCAGTCACAGGCATTTTCTGACATTGACTTGCACCAGAGTCTCTCCCAAGAGGCCCCAGATCCAACACACCCAGTGGGAGTCTTCAGAGGATAACCCAATTTGCTTTATAAGCAGAATACTCACATGGAGATCTCAGCAGGCACTAGAACATGTTTGTGTAAGTTACCCAACATAGGTCAGTCTTCGTACAGTAGCTTGTACTCTGAGGTTGGGATCAATGCTGATGGCCAATCTAGTGGTCAACCACTTCCATGAACAGGCCAACAACAATCAAGATTCTACTAAAGCAGGGTTCACATAATACACACCCTGAGCCCCAGAAGAAACCAACTACATGAGGCCATCCTACCAAGACTGGAAGGCATAGCAAATGTACCTGACACACAGGAAAAAATGCAGAGGGGCAGTCAAAATGGGGAGACAAGAAACATGTTTCAAATGAAAGAACAAGAGAAAATCCCAGAAAAAGAACTAAATGAAATGGAGGCAAGATATCTATCTACCAGATACAGAGTTCAAAGCAATGGTTCTAACAATGCACAAGAAACATAGTGACAATTTTAACAAAGAGAGAGCAAGTATAAAAAAATACAAAGAAATTATAAATAAGAACCAATCAGAAGTAAAGAATACACTTGAAGGAATCAGCAGCAGATTATATGTAGTAGAGAACTGAGTCATTGATTTAGATGACAAGGTAGCAGAAAATACCCAATTAAAGCAGAAAAATAATATTAAAAAAAAATAAACAGTTTAAGGGACTTCTGGGACAACTTGAAGCATAGCAACATCCATATCATGGAGGTTCCAGAAGAAGAAGAAGAGAGTAAAAATTAAAAACTTATAATCATAATGTCTGAAAAGTTCCCTATCCTGGTGAAGAGAAAAGACACACAAGCACAGCAGAGAGAGCACCAAACAAAATAAACCAAAGAGGCCAACACCAAGACACATCATAACTGCAATGGCAAAGGGTAAAGACAAAGCAGGAATCTTAAAAGCAGCAAGAGAAAAAGTTACCTACAAGGAAACTCTTATCAGACTGTCAGATGCTTTCTCAACAGAAATATTTAATGCCAGAAGGGATTGGCACAACATATTGAAAGTGATATAAAAGGAGGGCCTACACTCAAGACTACTCTACCCAGAAGGGCTATCATTTAAAATTGAAGAAGAAATTAAGAGCTTTCCAGGCACGCTAAACTAGCATTACAAGTAATGTTAAAGGACCTTTATATAAAGAAAAAAAAATGAAAAGGAGGGAACATAATTATAAAAAATAAAATGGCATAAATGTATACCTATCAAGAATCACTTTATTTTTTTTTAAATCCTCACCCGAGGACATTTTTCCAATTTTTGTACAGATAGAGTGGGAGGAACAGAGAGAGAGAGAAACATCGACGTGAAAGGGACACATCGAGTGGCTGCCACCCGCACGACCGACCAGGGCCGGGGACCAAACTGCAACCGAGGTACGCGCCCTTAGCGGGAACCGAACCCGGGTCTCTCAGGACCGCAGGCCGACGCTCGGTCGTGCGGGTGGCAGCCACTCGATGTGTCCCTTTCACGTCGATGTTTCTCTCTCGGGTTCGGTTCCCGCTAAGGGCGCGTACCTCGGTTGCAGTTTGGTCCCCGGCCCTGGTCGGTCGTGCGGGTGGCAGCCACTCGATGTGTCCCTTTCACGTCGATGTTTCTCTCTCGGGTTCGGTTCCCGCTAAGGGCGCGTACCTCGGTTGCAGTTTGGTCCCCGGCCCTGGTCGGTCGTGCGGGTGGCAGCCACTCGATGTGTCCCTTTCACGTCGATGTTTCTCTCTCTCTCTGTTCCTCTCTCTCCCTCCCTCTCTACCTGAACAAAAAAAAAAAAAAAAAAAAAAAAAAAGGAAAAATGTCCTCGGGTGAGGATAACAAAAACAAAACAAATAAAGAATCACTTTAAAAGTAAATGGCTTAAATAATTTAATCAAAGGACATAGAGTACATGAATGGATAAGAAAACAAGACCCTCACACGTGCTGTCTACAGGACACCCATCTCAGAATGAAAGATACACACAGATTGGAAGGAATGCAAAAACATATTTCATGCATATGCAAACAAACAAAAAAAGCTGAAGTAGCAATATTTATATCACACAAAATTGAACTGAAAACAAAACCTTTAACAAGAGACAAAGGAAGGTGGGAGGGAGAGAGAGATAGAAAAACATCCATGTGAGAGAGACACATTGACTGGTTGCCTCCAGCACTATCCCAACTGGGGTCAGTGATTGAACCTGCAGCCCAGATATTTGCTCTTGACCTGGAATTGAACCCATGACCCTTTGGTCTGCTGGCTGACACTCTAACTGCTGAGCCAAACCAACATTAGCCATTTTTAAGGGAAAAACTTAGTAGCATTTGGTACATTTACACTGTTGTGCAATGATTACCCTGCCTAGTCCCAAAATATTTCAGCATCACAAAGACAATCCCAGTCCCACAATATAGTCATTCCCCATTCCTGTTACCATGGTTTCTGGCATCCACTTATCTGGTATCAGTCTCTATATATTCATTTATTCTGAAAATTTCATATCAAAGAGATCATATGATAGAAAACACAAATTTCCATTATAAACATAAAGCAATAATAGGTAGGCCACTACTCAATTTTAAGAGTAAGTGCTACACAAAACTAAATTCAGAGCAGAAAAACTACTTTCACAAGAGAGTACTTTACCTTGGAGTTTTCACGCTGTGTTGTAGGCCTTGAAGTAAAAATATACAACAAAAATGAGTGAGTTCATTGCTTTAAGAAAGCAACAAAAATTTTAAATGAAAGATCAGCTAACTGCATATTAAATGAAGTTTCTTGATATAATTACAATTGCTTCAGTTTAATAAAACCTTTAATTATCTATTTCTGCCACCACCTCTCCCAACAATGAACTAGTTATTGAAGACACATTCTAAGTTGCCATAAGAAAGCGGCAGCTGACATATTGGCACAGCTTGAGATGAACTTGTTTTTACCAAAAGTTCTGAAGGCTGAACCCAAAATCCAATTAATGGCTGACATAACTTTTGTTACTTGAGCTAGAAAAAGTCTGGTAGAAAGATACATGGTCTCTTTCCCACAGTCTGTCCCTGATTCAAAGATTAATCTATGACTGTCTTGGGTCTTTAGCATAGAAACCACTTATTAGGGTAAATCTACTCCTTCTATTTACCCTAAAGCTACACAGGAAGTTCCCTGAAATGGATGAAAGTTAAATGTTCCAATGTCAAAGAACAATGTAGAGATTGTTCACATTCCCACTCCCAGATCACTTTTCTGCAGGCTCCATGGCAGTCTCTAACCTTTAAATATTCAGCTAATGAAGTCACAGCCTCCTGAAACAAGAATATGCTCAAATGCCCAAGGGGAGGAGCTGTCTATTGCCCTGCTCCTGGAAAATAAGTCTCAGCCATCCGTTTCTAACATAAACATGTTACCAACTATCCAACTCCCACACTATTTGGTCAGCGCAATGCCCCCTATATATGGGAAGGACATCACCTAATTGGGAAAAGAAGTAGAGTTGAAGAGCCACCTGCCTTGGGCCATAGACCTATGTAGTTCAGTACTCTTTGGTCTGCTAGGATTTGAGACCTAAGCCCACTCTGTAAGTTGTGGTTCAGGTAGATGATATCACAGGCTTGTTTGCAATGAAATGTATCTTTCCAGTGGCTCAAATTATTTTAGTATCTTTCTACAGAAGTTATGAATTCTGCTAGTTCCTCCATTTCAAACAACAAACAAATGAGCAGCAACCTCTTCATGACTCCCTTGCACCCCTTATATTAATCTGCCTTTCTAGACAACTGCCAATGTCCTGTGGTCTTCCTTCTTATAACTTAGCTTTAACTTGTGATAAACCTCAATATTCTGATCTTTTTTTTGCAAAACTCTCACTCCTATCTCAGCCCAGTGTTATTTGTTTTGAAACTTTGGGATTCCCCTGAAATTTCCATTCGTACTCTCTTTGCACTGCATTCACTTGACCCTCTCCTCATTTTTCATTATTAAAACACTCACATACAGGATGATAAAGAAGAGTATTGGGCTTGGATATGTGAATTTACGTCTCATTTGTACCACTTTTTATATCCACATGAATCACTTTAATTTGAGTTTCAGATTCTCTATGTGAACCTCCACTGGGCCAGAATGTTGAACACAGGTAGATTAATTAATTGCTAAGATTCCTTAATCCTATGAAATTTTATATGCCTTTGATTCTATCTATAGAAAAATTAAGAATACATAGCTGGCAGAAGCTTTTCATGCAGCTGAGGACTACAACTCAAGGCCCTGAGTAACTGAGAATAATCACCTTCAGGCAAAAAGCTAGAGGATAACTGAACCTTTCCTGGGCTTGTAAATCTAACCAGGAAAGTAAGAATTGACAGGGGTGTTTAACGTGGGTCCTCCCACACTCATCCAAACGCTGTGTAGGGAGCCCCAAACAGCAAGCCACCAACACCCAAAGGGAAAATTTGCTTTAATAAAGCAACAAGAAATAAGAAATAAAAAAAATTTTTCATTGACTATCTAACCTCACAACTTAAAGAACTTAAAAAAAAAAAAAAAAAAAAAAAAAAAACCACTGAGAAAGGCAAAATGTTGAAACAAAGAAACAAATCCCAAATGAAAGAACAAGAGAACTCTACTGAAGATGAGATAAATGAAATGCAGTTAAGAGTTTATCAGAGGGCCCAGGCCGGTTTGGCTCAGTGGTTGGAGCATCAGCCTGGGACCAGAGAGTCCCGGGTTTGGTTCACACTAGAAGCATGTATCAGAAAAAAGGGTTATTAGAGGTAGAGTTCAGAGCCATGATCTTGAGAAAATTGAACAGCATGAATTTGGACATCAACACCATGAGTAAAGATATAGAAACACTGAAAATCAACCATGTGGAAATAAAGAATGACATAGCAGAAATAAAGAACACATTGGAAAGACTAACCAGAAGAGTAGAGGAAGCTGAGGCCTGGATGAGTGAATCAGAAGACATGGTAGAAAAAATCAACTAATCAGAAAACCAAAAGGAAATAATAATTAAATAACAGGAAGACAGCTTAAGGAAACTGAGGGAGAACTGGAAACATAATAACATACACATCATAGGATTCCCTGAGGAAGAAAATAAACAAGGGTAAGAAAATACATATGAAGAAGCAGTGACAGAAAACTTCCCTAACTTGGTGAAGGAAGAAAGGCGTTAAAGTTCAAGAATCACAGAGAGACCCAAGTAAGAAGAACCCAAACAGGCACACAGCAAGACACATAGTAATTAAAACGCCAAAAATTAAAGACAAAGAGAGAATCCTAAAGGTAGCAAGAGATAAGCATCAGGTTACCTACAAAGGAACCCCCTAAGGCTATCATCTGACTTCTCAACAGAAACACTACAGGCCAGAAGGGAGCGGTATGAAGTAATGAAGGTCATGAAAAACAAGGATCTGAATCCAAGATTACTCTATCCAGCAAGGCTATCATTCAAATTAGATGGTGAAATAAAGAGCTTCCCAGACAAAAAAAGGCAAAGAAAACATACGTATTAACACCAAACCAGTACTACAAGAAATGTTAAAAGGACTGCTGAAATTAGAAGAAATAGGAAGCAAAATATAACCACACTGAACAAAAATGGCAACAAATAAGTACATATTAATAATCACCATAAATGTAAATGGACTGAATGTTCTGATAAAAAGACACAAAGTAGGTGATTGCATAAGAAAGCATGATTCATATATATGTTGTTTACAAGAGACCCACTTCACAACAAAAGACTCACATAGGTTGAAAGTAAAGGGATGGAAAAAAATTTACCAAGCAAACAGAAAAAAAAAAAAAAAAAAAAAAAGCTGATGTAGCAATAATCATATCTGATAAATTAGATTTCAAAATGAAGGCCATAACTAGAAACAAAGAAGGCCACTACATAATATTGAAAAGATCTATTCAACAGGAAGATATAACCTTGATAAACATATATGCACCCAATATATTAAAAATCTTCTGGAAGACTTCAAAGAAGAAATCGGCACCAATACAATCATAGCAGGGGACTTCAGCTCCTCACTGACATCACTGGATAGATCATCTAGATAAAAAAAATTAATAAGCAAACAGAGACTCTACATGAAGTACTGGACCAAATGGATTTAATAGATATCTACAAAGATTTACACCCTAAAAGTGCAGAATTCACATTCTTCTCAAGTGCATGTGGAACATTCTCAAAGACAGACCACATGGTAGGACACAAACTAAGTCTCTAAAAGTTCAAGAAGATTAAAATCACATCAAGCATCTTGTCAGATAACAATGGTATGAAACTAGAAATTAATTGCAACAAGAACATGCAAAGATATTTGAAAATATGGAGGCTAAATAGCACATTATTTAAGATCAAATGGGTTACATGAAAATCAAGGAAGAAATTTAAAACTTCCTGGAAACCAATGAAAATAAACACACAACAACACAAAATCTGTGGGATGCAGCGAAAGCAGTTCTGAGAGGGAAGTTCATAGCACTACAGGCATACCTCAAGAAATAAGAAAAAATTTTCATTGACTATCTAACCTCACAACTTAAAGAACTAAAAAGAAAACAAAAACAAAGAAAACCCCAGAGCAAGTAGAAGGAAAGACATTTTAAAGATAAGAGCAGAAATAAACAACATGGAGACTAAAAGAACAAGTCAAAGGATCAATGAAACAAAGAGCTGGTTTATAAAAAAGATAAGACAAGATTGATGGACCCTTAGTTAGACTCACCAAGAAACAAAGAGAGAGAACCCAAATACACAAAATCAGAAATGAAAGAGAAGTAGCAACTGAAACCACAGCAAAACACAGGATCATGAACAAATACTGTGAACAATTACATGAAAACAAATTGGACAATCTAAGTAAAATGGACAAATTTCTAGAAACACACAGTCTCCCAAAACTGGACCGGGAAGTGATAGAAAACTTGAACAGACCAATAACAACTAAGGAAACTGAAAATGTAATCAAGGCTCTCTCAGCAAACAAAAGCCCAGGCCTGGAAGGCTTCACGAGGAAGTTTTACCGAACATTCAAAGAACTAACACCCATTCTTCTCAAACTATTCCAAAAAATTCAAGAAGAAGGAAGACTTCCAAACTCATTTTATGAAGTAAGCATAATTCTAATTCCAAAACCACAATAAGACATTACAAAGAAAAAAAACTACAGGCCAATATCCCTGATGAACATAGATGCCAAAATCCTGAACCAAATACTAGCAAATCGGATCAAACAATACATCAAAAAAATTATTCACCATGATCAAGTGGGATTCATCCCAGGGATGCAAGTCTATTACAATATTCACAAGTCAATAAATGTGCTACACCACATAAATAAAATAAAAGATAAAACCACATGATCATATCAATAGATGCTGAAAAAGCATTCAACAAAATCCAGCACCCATTTCTGATAAAAATGCTCAGCAATCTGGGAATAGATGGTAAATATATCGACATAATAAAGGCCACATATGAAAGACCTATTGCCAACATCATACTCAATGGGCAAAAACTAAAAGCATTTCCCTTAAGAACAGGAACAAGACAGGGATGCTCACTTTCGCCACTCTTATTTAACATAGTACTGGAAGTCTTAGCCACAACAATCAGACCAGAAGAAAAAATAAAAGGGATACAAATTGGAAAGGAAGAAGTAAAACTGTCATTATTTGCACATGACATGGTATTGTACAATAAAAACCCTAGATACTCCATCAAAAGTCTACTAGACTTAATAAAAAAAATTTGGCAAAGTAGCAGGGTACAATATTAACGTCAAGAAATCAACGACATTCTCATACACCAATGATGAACCCACAGAAAAAGAAACTAAAAAAAAATCCCATTTACCATCATGGCAAAAAATTAAGATACCTAGGAAGAAACTTAATCAAAGAAGTAAAAAACCTTTTTTCAGAAAAGTACAGGACATTGAAAAACAAAATAGAGGAAAATATAAAAAGTGGAAGGACATACCTTGTTCATGGATTGGAAGAATTAACATCCTTAAAATGTTCATACTATACAAAGCAATCTATAGATTCAATGCAGTCCCCATCGAAACACCAACAACATATTTTACAGAACTGGGACAAATACTTCAAAAGTTCATATGGAACCAAAAAAGACCTCAAATAGCCACAGCAATCTTGATAAAGAAGGACAAGGTAAATGGGATCACAATACCGATATGAGGTTATTATACTACATAGCTACTGGAATTAAAACAGCCTGGTACTGGCACAAGAACAGGCATATAGACCAGTGGACCAGAACAGAGAACCCTGAAATGGATCCAAGACATTATGCTCAATTAATATTTGACAAAGGAAGCAAGAGCATACAACGGAGTAAAGACAGCCTCTTTAATTAATGGTGTTGGGATAATTGGACAGCTACAGGCAAAAAAACGAAACTGGACCATCAACTTACACCATACACAAGAATAAACTCAAAATGGATAAAAGACTTAAATGTGACTCATGAATCCATAAAAATCCTAGAAGAGAATGTAGGCAACAAAATTTCAGGCATCATACACAGCAGAATTTTCACTGATACATCACCTAAGGCAGCAGAAACAAAGGAAGAAATGAACACGTGGAACTATATCAAACTAAAGAGCTTCTGCACAGCAAAAAATATGATCATCAAAATGGAAAGGCAATCCACTGTATGGGAGACCATAACTGCCAGTGATGCATAAGATAAAGGGTTAACTTCCAAAATACATACAGTGCTCATACAACTCAACAAAAGGAAGACAAAGAACCCAATTAAAAAATAGGCAGAGGAGTTAAATAGACACCTCTCCAAACAGGACATACAAATGGCCAAGAGACATATGAAGCAATGCTCAATGTCACTAATCATCAGAGAGATGCAAATTAAAACAATAATGAGGTATCTCCTCACACTTGTCAGAATGGCCGCCATCAACAAATCATCAAACAACAAGTGTTGGTGAGGGTGTGCAGAAAAGGGACTCTAGTACACTGCTGGTGGGAATACAGACTGGTGTAGCCCCTATGGAAAACACTATGGTGTTACCTCAAAAAATTAAAAATTGAGTTGCTATTTGAACCAGTGATCCTACTTCTAGGAATATATCCTAAGAAGCCTGAAACACCAATCAAAAAGAATATATGTACCCCCATGTTCATAGCAGCACTATTTATAATGGCTAAGATCTGGAAACAGCCCAGGTGTCCATCAGTAGACAGAGAAAGGAGTTGAGGTACATATACACAATGGAGTACTATGCAGCTGTAAGAAAGATCTCTTATCCTTTGAGACGACATGGAGGGACCTGGAGAGTATTATTCTAAGCGAAACAAGCCGAGCAGAGAAAGACAAATATCACACGATCTCACTTATTTGTGGAATACAATAAACATAACAGTCTGAGGAATTGGGTAGACTGAGAGACGTGGAAGTAGGGTACAGATATGGAGGGGGTGGTGGGGGAAGGGACGAGATAAACCACAGAACCTATATGCATGTACGCATAACCGATGGACACGGACAACAAAGCCTGCTATGGGATGGGGGATTGGGTGGAGGGTGTCAATGGGAAAAAAAAGGAGAAACATCTACAACAAAAATAAATTAATAAAAATTTTTTTAAAAAGGAAGAAAACAAAAAACAAGGTACTAGTTACCACTGGGCTTCTTAGGAAAACTCTAAATCAAAGTAAACACACAGTGAGATTTGACATTCTGAGTTGATCTGATTTGCATATGTAACTAGATGCCAGTGCTACACATGAACTTATCAGTATGTTGAGGGACAACAGAATGCATTTGGGAGCCAAGCAGGTTGACGGTCAAATCTTGGATCAAACATTTCTTAACTATTAATTCATGGGTCAGTTAATCACCTCCCTGAACCACAGTTGCCTTGGGGTACAGATCTGGTAATCAAACAGAAAGGAAAGTCTGATATTTACCTGCAGCATTATTTGAAGCTCCCTGACAGGTTAGGATGGTTCAGACTAACATTTGCTAGCAAAAAACAAAACCAAAAAAACACACAAAGCAACCCAAACAAGATGCTCAAAGTTTAACTCAGAATGTTCTTTTATACCTCTCTATCCGACCTGTGAAAGAGAATTGTGTCCCTTGGACTTAGTGAACCCGTAAGGTTCTTAAAAATTTGAAAGAGGAAAGTATAAAAGTTAGCCCCCGAAAGTACAGATTTTTCTGCTAAATTGCAGACTTCAAGACTCCAAATAACTAGTTAGAAAAATCAGAGATAATAATTTTTTTCTTTCTTTTTTATCCTTACTCAAGAACATTTTTCCACTTTTTGTTCAGATACAGTGGGAGGAGGAGAGAGGGAGAGAGAGAGAGAGAGAGAGAGAGAGAGAGAGAGAGAGAGAGAGAGAGAGAAACATCGATGTGAAAGGGACACATCAAGTGGCTGCCACCCACATGATCCAACCAGGGCCAGGGACAAACTGCAACCAAGGCACGTACCCTTAGTGGGAACCAAACCCCGGTCTCTCTGGACAGCAGGTCTACACTCTAACTGCTGAGCCAAATTGGCCAGGGCAGAGATATGATTTTATTTGTACCCCATGCAGAGGCATTCTACTTGGAGTGAAAAGGGTTACATTAGCATGCCTAATAATAAAGAACTTAAAAGTTCTAAGATAAAAAATCTGGCCCATTGTCTCTTCTAACTAAGCTACCTTTTGCTTGGTTTCTGGCTGATGACACAGATTAACTCACTGCCATTCTCAAACTGCCTGAACCAAACTGTGAATCTCATTTGTTATATAAGAATAAATTATTTTAAACCTCAGTTTAGTGTTTATTTTAAATACTTACAAATTAAAACTACTAACAAAACCGTAATCTGCAGTCCACCCATAGTTATCTTGAGAGAGACATCGACGCCTTGCTGAAGAACCTGACCCTATTTGCAGTCTCATCACTTCCAGCAGCATTGACGGCTGTTCAAATATACCACAGACACAAATTTATCCTCAGAAATTTAAGCTATTTAAATGGCTAATTTGATATGTTGCCAAGTTAATATCTTGTTTGTCTGTGTAGAATTAACCATTTACAGGCCTAAGTGTTCATCTTTGTAAATTACCTCCGAGGCTAAAATGAAGGGACTGAAAGGAAGCGTCTTGTTCAACTTGGGTATTACATAGAAGTTGCTAATTTAAAGTCCTCTAACAGATAAGAAACTATGTTGAGGTCACTAATCTGAAGTAGGAAAACATTTAAATAAAGAAGTTTTTATTTTATCCTTAGACTAACTATTCTTCCAAGTCAGCTAGAAGTTAGGTAAGTAAAATCTACTTGTCAGGCTTAAAACAATTATATTAATATTAATTATAATAATAGTAGTCATAGTTACTGTTATTGATGCTGATACGCATGTGCTAGGCACTAAATTAAATGCTGGATAACTTTACACACAATATAATAATAATTATATTATTATTGTCCCTTTTATATCAGAAAAAATGTTTGGAAGTGATAAGTAATGTTCTCAAGGTCACACACCTGGTAAGCAGAAAAGCTAGGCCTTAAACTCAATCTTGTGTGAATTGAAAGCCCATTTGCATTTTCTTTATCACCTACTTGTGATAGGAACTTGTCTTCATTATAGAAAAGGTTTATTCAATTAAGTTATCTTTCTCCCTCCTATCCATACCAGTTAAAAATAAAAACATCAAAATATACTAAAAATGAGAAGGGATAAACACTGATGAGCCCATACTATCTGGGCTCAGCCATTTCAGGATAACTTAGAAATCAACTTAAAGCAAAAGTCATCCAAAAGACAAAATCTTTTTCTATGTATCTTTACCACGCATCTTCTGAAACAAATATATACCAAGTATAGTTTAAAAATACTGTAAGAGAGATTAGGTCTTCTATTGTATCATAAAGTAAGCAAACAGAGTCCATACTATGTAAGACTAATGAAACTAATATGAAACCCCTCTAGCAAGTATAAAATCATGACCTAAAAGACCAGATTGAAAATAACATCAGTCAGTATTATAAATGAATACGAATCCTGAAGTATGCTGTTCTTCCAGTTGCCCAATCAGAAAAGTTGCTTTTGTACTTAACTGATGATGTGCTAATATTTTTCACTATCCTTTCCTTATTAATTTAATATTTATAACATGAATGCTTGTTACCATTCTAGGACAATACTAAAGCTAAAAATAAAAAAATAATAATAAAGGACAAACAAATCTACCTGTCCATCAGATCGACTTTTGCATTACTCTTTATTAAAAGTTCCACCATCTGCTCTTTGTTTTGTTTTTTAGCAAGTGAAAGTGATGTGAAACCATCCTGTGAAGAAGAAAAAAATGATTTATAATTTATAAAGTTGTATATGTCAAAACTGAATTTTAAAAATGATAAGAGATCCTTAGAACTTAAACGTATAAAATAGAAAGTAAATAAAAAGCTGTCACTGGCAGCTCCTTCTCTTCAAAATGCCCTCCTCTCCCTCTTCAACAGATCCGCTGGAACCCCGATGTCCAGAACTCACTTCACACCTGTACAGTACGGTTCCAAGAACCTTTGTTCCTGTCGCAGTGTCTATCGTGGGGGACTGTCGGTATATTACTGACTGTGGACTGCTGCCTCCCCTTCCTGCTTACACTCGCCCAGCTGCCCCTGCTAGGTGCTAGGTCTCCTCCTGCCACCCATCCCCAGCAGCACCCATTTCCTAGGCCTCAGCCTGCAGAGCAGCAACCCCACCCACCCCCATCACTTCACTCCCCGAGCCTTTCAGTCCTTGGTGGGCTCTGAGCCTATCACCCACTCTCAGGGTTAATAAGAAGTTCTTCCTTCTGGGCTGGAAGGGTAGTGGGGAGACAGCCCTTTCTGTGGACATCGCATTTCTCCAGCCCTTCCTGACTTGGCTTTGGAGTGGTTTCCATGGTGACAATCTCTGATATTCTGTATTCAGTCTATGTCTAGGAGAAAGAAAATGCTTGTGGCTAAAACAAAGACATATATCTCAAGTGTTTTGTAAATAAATTAGTTGGTTGATACCTTGTTTCTAGCTTCCATGTTTGCTCCATATGAAAGCAGCTTTGCCACGATAGCTGCGTTCTGACCCAGGACAGCATAGTGCAGAGCCGTGTTGCCGTCGATGTCCACCAGGTTTGGGTGAGCGCCTCGGGCTAGCAGAACCGCGGCGCACTCCTCCTGCTGGCACTGCACGGCCTGTCAGTATTATGCCAAGAAACGGACTGTAAATTCTGGAAATTCAAAGTAAGCATTCCACAAGTTTCACCAATTACTTATTGTTAAATGAGATAAACGCATTTTTATGTAAATAAGTAAGACAAATCCATCTCATGTTGACATCACTGGCTCCTACATACCTTAAACAAAGCTGTTCTGTTTTGTCTATCACAAAGGTCCAACAGGCATTTTTTTTGGTCAGCTAGCAGAGTGACCACTTCTGGATGGCCATTGGCACAGGCCAAATGTAAGGCAGTCCTATGAAATTGAGAGAACCTTTTAGGAACTTTGAGTGCCCTCTCTCAAAGCATACAATTATTCATGTAATTGTAGACATTACATGTGATCCCTGTGCCTTAAAAAATAGTAGTTTTCTTCTGTAGACAGTACAATATTTGTTAGTTTTTGTTACTCACCACAGTCATGAAGGAGCAGCCTATTTGAAAAGAGAAAGCATAACCAGGGAATTCAGCTCAACTTGGGTCTGATACTATTTTAACTCTGTCATGCATTAGCTATCACTTTGTCTTTCTGTGACTCAATTTCCTCATTAACAAAATGGGGATAAAAGTAGTAGTTACCTCACAAAACATGATTGTTTGCTTACATGAAAATCTGCAATGTTTCCTACAGTTTCTAGCACAAAAAATAGCTCAATGATTGTTATATAATATTGGTATTATTTTTTACTATTACTATTATTATTACTATGACTATGACTTTACTAAGACAATATTTCAATTAAGCAAAATGATATCATTTTATCTACACAGCAGATATATTTTAAGGATCATAAAGAACACAGTATTTCAATAATTCTAAGGTGCTTATTCTCACAGTTTTACATCTCTGACATTGGAATGCAATTTATAATCCAGAATTTCTTACAACTACAATTGGTAGCATTTTAAAAAATTCTTCTTCGTACATAAAATACTGAGTATCATACCATCCATGGTGCCTTATATTAAGTGAAATGATGGTAAATACAACAGACCTCTTGCAGTGCTAGTCAAAGGGTTGGTATTTAAATAAATTTTAGTTTTGTAAAGCTTTATAGAGGAAAGATGACTAAAAGAGCAAAACAATAATTTTTTTGAAAAAAGTAATTCTTACTTTGATTTTCAAAAATCTTTGAGCCAAAAGAAACTCTGGATTCAAATGAAGAAGGATGTCTCATTTTGTTCAACATTCAGATTTATAGATTGTATGGAAATCAGAAATTTCTAGTACTCAGTATTTAATACTATTATATGTTTTCAAAGGGCAGGTAAAGGTTCTCTTTTACAATTTCCTTCCTTTAGAAATCTTTTTGTCTGAAAGGAGGGAAAAAAAGCTTTAACTGTGATTAGGTCCTAATACTTCCATTTTGAATTTCTCTTTTTGATCATACTGGGCAACATGAAGATTTTTAAGAATAAAAAGGGCCTTAAAAATAGATTGTGTAAATGGGTTGAAAGAATGTGTAAAACATAGTGAGAAAGTTTAATATTTTTTAAAAGAACACTTTTATAAAGTAAAGAGATACTTCTGCAATAATAATAATCACTTATTCTTGCTATTTTTTATTTTCATAAACAAACAACTAAAATAAATAATGTATCAATGATTACATATTATATGTAATAAAGATATATGAAGTAAAATACATATGTTTGTTTATCTGTATAGGAGCAGATAAAAAAATTCCCTTTATTTCTGAAGAGGCTAAAAGTTATCAGAAGACACCAATCTTGGTAAACAGAAAATGATGGCCTACCAGTGTAGCTCAATGGATTGAGCACTGTTACAACACTAAAATGTCATTGGTTGATTCCTGGTCAGGGCACATGCCTGGGGTTTTAAATAAAAACATTTAAAAAAAACAGAAAGTGAGAAACTATTTTTAAAAAAATCTGTACAAGATTCATTTTATTGGTCTTCTCTAGGATAACTTCATTCCCAATAATACTACATTTACTATAATTTCTATGCATGTTCATTGTAGAAATTAGATATTTTATCTCTTTGCTTGAACCAAAACAGTGCCTTATTATTATTATTATTATTATTATTATTATTCTCCAGGGATATATATATACACACACACATATATACATATATTATTTTAGAGAGAGCGAAAGGGAGAGGGAGAGAGAGAAACAATGATATGAGAGAAACATCGGCTGGTTGCCTCCTACACGTACCTGCACTGGGAATCGATCCTGCCACCCTTTGGTGCACTGGATGATCCTCCAAACAAGTGAGCCACACAGGCCAGGGAGAAAATCAGATTTTTTATAAACAATATTTTCACATATAATACAACTGCTCAGAAATAAATGTATTACATTTTTCACACATTTTCAGCTAATATAAGATCATAGTCTGTGTGTAAGTATAATTAAAACGGATTTTTTTCTTAATCGCTATTTATGCAGTGCTGAGAAAAAATTGTTGTATGTAATTTATCTAATTCTCTTTACAGATATAATAGTATAAATAGAATTGATGGGTATAGAAAAAAAAATATATATTTTTAAATGTGATATTCAGCACCAAATTGCCTATTTCAAAGTCAAAAGCAACTTAAACTTTAAGCAGCAGTATAAGGACCCCTGTTGGCCATCTCCACAAACTTTGTAGATGGAAAACAGCATGTCACTTCTTTTTTTTTTTTTTAGAGAGGGAGGAAGGGAGAGGGAGAGAGAGATAAAGACATTGATGACAGAGAACATTGATTGGCCACTTCCTGCATACCTGCACCTGGGGATTGGGCCCACAACCTGGGCATGTGCCCTGACCAAGAATCCAACCAGTAACCTCTTGGTGCATGGGTCAACACTCAACCACTGAACCACACCAGCCGGGACATGTCACCCCTTTTTAACTAAAATTCCTTTTTCTTACCAGGGACACTAAATATTTTTTTCTTTTTTTACTTTAGGTCACCTGTAGATATGCAAAAAGTATGTTTTCCACTTTCAAATTAGAGGGTTTTTTTTTTTGTTGATTTTAAAGACTTCTTTGTAAATGAAGATATACTTTTTCTGTAATACACATTGTACATATTTTACAAGTTCATTTACTTAATATTATATTCTGATAGACAGAGGGTTTAATTTTTTTATATTGCCCAACCAACCTCCAGAAATCTTACTTTTGAAGTCTTTGACAACATAAAAAAAATGTATAAATTTTTTTTGTGTGTTTTCTTCTCATACTTTTCTCGTTTTTATATTTAAATATTTTAATCTGAAACTTTTTATGAGGGGATAGAAATTTAGTTAGTTTTCTCCAAATACTTAACAGGTATTTTTCCACTATTTGTATACAATTCACCTTTCCCTCCAACAAGAAACATCAGCAGGATCAAGTTCTAAAGTCTTACATATATTTTGCTGTTTGTTCATTATCTTTTCTGTTCCAATCATTTATCTGTCTTCTCAGCTATTGGTAAAAAGTAATTTTGGGAAATTTATAGCACATGTTGATATTTAGAAGGCAATATCTTTTTCTACTCTACTAAAATGTTAATTTCATAACAACAATAAAAGATAACACATATAACTCAAACTATTAAAATCATATTTTATCTGGTTTATAAAATTGATCATTGTAGGACAAACACATATTTTGAGAAAACAAGTCTTTCTTTTCAAGAACATAACCCTCTTCCCAGTTCAAATTCCTCTGTGAGATTCTTCAATAAAGAACATATGTACCTCTATGTATACTGATAGAAAATGGTTATTGGATGTTATCTGGAGGACTTTTAGCCCAAAGTTGATTTATGATGGGAATTATTTCTCTCATTATGTAATTTTATATATATGTGTGTATATATGTGTTTTATATATATAACATTATGGTATAAAAAGTAAACATCAAATATAAAAGCTCTGTATTTAATAAATATAAATTTATTAAAATTTAATTTTATTCATTTTTAAATCTTTTATTTATTTATTAAATATTTTTCTTTGATAATTTTAGTTTACTTTATATTTTTTAATCCTTACCCAAGGTTATACTTTTCATTTATTTTCAGACAGGAGAAAGGGAGAGAGAGAAACATCCATGTGAGATAGACATATTGATTGGTTGCCCAACCAGAAATCAACCGCAACTGAAGTTTGTGCCCTTGACTGGAATGGAATCTGCGACTCTTTGGTTCAGGGGTCGATACTCTAACCACTGAGCAAAACCAGCCAGGGCTGATTTTACTTTTTATCTTTATAATTGAAGGTCATACAGATATTCCCCCTTTATTCCCTCATTGACTCCTTCTACCCTGCTGCCCCTCCCTACTCCCCTCTCCACACCACCTTCTCCCCAATCCTGCTTTCCCCACACTATTGTGTTCATCGGTTATGCATATAAGTTCTTTGGTTTATCTCTTCCCACTGTAATTTTGTTTCCATTATTGATATTTAGTTAAATCACTTTAAAATTGTCTGTGAAGTGCCAGTGCCCAGCTGGCATAGCTCAGTGGACATGGCTGGAGGGGTCAGGATTTGATTTTTAGTCAGGGCACATGCCAGTTTGCAGGTCAATGCCCAGTAGGGGGCACGCAGGAGCAGCCAATTGATGTTTCTCAAATGGACATTTCTCTCTCTCCCTGTCTCTCTAAAAAATCAATAAAAATGTTAAAAAACAAAAAGAAATAAAATTGTCTGTAAGGGCTGTATCAGGGGAATGGTGAGTGGTTCCTTAAGTTTTAGTTTTGTTTGTTCATAAATTGGCCTGAACGTTAGACCCCACATAAGGTCTCCACCACTGAGGCGCCTTGAGACTATTGGACCAAGGACTGCCTGACAAGAAGGCTGAGCCGGTGCAGGTGAGCACTTCTCCCAGGTCCGCCCACCTCCTCCCAGGGGACTCCCGGGCTACAGACCTTGCAGGTCTCAACTGCCCTATTACCTGTTCATCTTGTCTCTGTCATTTAAGGCATTGATCTGGAGCAAGAGTATCTGCCTTACTTTTACTGCATTGCCCACGCTGGCAGCTTTGTGTATCTCCTTGAGATCTTTGCCTCGGATGTGGTACCCGGGGCCTCTGTCTCCAACTCTGCTCCTCCCTGTGCTGGTGGAGGATCCGGAAGACCAGGACTCCTGTCTCCTCCAACGGGTGAATATCTTCTTCATGGCAGAGGCCTAGGGGCTTCAGAGAAGCCTCTTCTTCCCTCTGCTTTTCGCGTCTCCAGAGCACAATAGTATCTGTAGATAAGCCAACCACCTCACTGCCACAACCGGTCAGTAGGGCAGCTTAGCGGTTTAGAATCTCAAGGCCCAGAATCATGGTAACCAAGCAACGCTGCTTCAGCAACTGACAGCGCCGTGCATGCACCCAGATGCCCACTGGCTAAGGGTATGCAAAGATGATAAAATAAGAATATAAATAAGTATAATTATATACACATAAATAAATATAAACATGTTATATGTATATATATAATTATATATATAATTATATACACATAAATAAATATAAACACATATATATATAAATATATGTGTTATATATATGTGTGTGTGTAATATATATATATATATATTACACACACACACACACAGAATATAAAGTGGCCTTAGGGTACAGATCTGGTAACAAATGAGAAAGTGAAGTCTTATCTTTTTTGCAGCTTTATTTGAACCTCTCTGACAGCTTAGAATGGTTCCAGCTAACACCCGTTAACTGAAAGAAAAAAAAAAAAACCCAAAAAATCAAACAAGATGCTGAAAGTGTATCTCATCTGCAAAAGTCTGGGCTAAGATATAGATGAAAAATATCAACATCTATTCTATAAACTAATGTTTTAACCTAATAAAATATAATGGACTTAATTTGTGACTTGCCTTTTTAAATTTAATGGTGTTTAATTTTTACTCATCCCTTGTACTTACAGTTATTACCTATATGACCATGTCCCTTGAGGCTGTGCTGCCCTATGAGTAGTATAAAATGCTGACATGGGTATTATTTAATATATATGCCCTGTGTATATGTAAACATACAAAATGCAATTTATGTGCTTTTCCATGTGTGTCTTACTTAACCCAGTTAAAAGCACTTTATCTCACCAGGACTAAAATCCACAAAGTTAGTCCTCTGGACTGTGCCAAAGGGACTGGGGACTGATACTGATTCTTCCAGGACAGAACTCCAGCCTGTGCCCTCTGGAGAAGTGAAATGCCGACTGAGGAAAGCTTCAGACTCAGGTAGGAAGTCAGACTAACTTCCAGGCCCAGGAGAGTTAGCCATTAGTGCTATTCAGTTTGCAAATGTGTCAGTCATAACTTATTCATGGAGTGTATTTCATGTAGTTGTAAATTCATCAGTTTTCTAATTCTAACTCTCATGAAGTATGTAGAACAGTTGCTACTATTCATTCCTCACACTTTATCATGTTTTTGGTAATAGTTTTACACAGTTCTGACTTATATTTCTCAGTCTCTATGGTCAGATCCTCTACTTCATGCCCTGGCTGGGTGGCTGAGTTGATTGGAGCATCATCCCATACACCAAAAGGTTGAGAGTTTGATCTGTGGTCAGGGCACATACCTAGATTTCCAGTTTGATTCCCGGTCAGGGCATATATAGGAGGCAACCAATGTTTCTCTCTCTCTCTCCTTACCTTTTCCTCCAAAGTCAATAAACATATCCTCTGGTGTGCATAAACAATTCTTTACTTCTTTGCTGCTCAGCCTGTTTCATAAACATTATTGTCTATGAGAAATCGGTTCGGCAATCATTTACTAGTACTGGGGTTCTAGTAAATGATATGATCTCATGGAATAAGGAGGTACAGTCTGATAAGAGGGTAGGACAACTGAACAATGTAATAAAAGTACGTGTAATGTGTTTTGAAAAGCAGTGGTACTATGTCCATGGGTAGTGGAGGTGTTAGGACTTACACTTTGTAGAAGGTAACAACTGAGCCAAATCTTTTAAGAGTGAGATGGAGTTAGTTTGAATGTGAAAGGCCTTGCAGCAGAACAAATAGCAGGTGCAAAGGCATCAAAACATGGACCAGTACAGAGTTAAGAGGAGTCCAAGCATTCTGATAACACCATGATGCCTAAGACTCAGAGACTTAAAACAAGGTGGTATTTTAGGTGTTTCTGGAGCTTTGAGGGTTGAGAGAAGCATTTTAACCTGTGAATGCCATTATTATTTTAGTATATTCAATGGATCATGTGGTCAGCAGTCACAAACAGAAACAGTCATGTAATCAACATCTGATTAAGCAACATTACAGAATCTACAACCCAGAGGCCCCTCTTGTGCCCTCCATCTATGTTAACCACTGTCTTGATTGCTAATATTATAGATTAATTTAGCCTGTTTTTAATGTGTACCAGGCTGTGTCTCTTTTATTAATATTGCCATTCATTTTTATTCTATTTTATTAAACTTACCCTTTTCATTAGTAGGCCTAGAGGGATCTAGGGGCCTGAGAACCAGGGCATTTCAACCTCAGTCCTGTCAGTATTGGCTGTGCCTAAGCAACATAGTCCCTGTGAAACCTAACATTTCTGGTTATTGTGTTTCTTTTACTTCTCCAAATGAACAATCTCCTCCCCAAGTCAATTCATACTCTTGTATCAGGGTTATCTCTGAAGACTGTGTATGCGTGCGTGCGTGCGTGCATACGTGTGTGTGTTTTAGCCCCATGGGCAAATTTTTCTGCTACAATGACAGAAATGATTATGGACAGTTGTGGCTATGTTCGGGGAGGCCTTTATTTCAAGTATTTATTTCAGCATATAAGGCCTTTTGGTGGTTTGTGCTGTCCATGTGGCAGGTACCAGAGGCAGTGTGCTGGGACTGCAGAGGGTCTCTCAACCTATTCATAACACGGCACCAAGAAAATGATACTCTTTACATGGCAAACTGCATGAGTGGGGAGATATTTTTGTAGTGGTGGGTGACAAAAGACAATGTTTACACCATTTGCATACTTACAACATTCATGTATATATTTATATATAAGCAGATATCATATATAATATATTTAAATACATTTAGAAAAATGTCTAGTCAGTGAATATTATATTATATTCATATTTAAAGAATCTAATAGCTCTTTGTCTTGTGTCATATGTAATGTTGATTGTTCTGTGATAATCAGAACAAAATTTCAGATCTAAACTAATTTAGTTAGAAGGAATTCTAAGGGTCACGAAAGTGAGACCCACACACTAAAGACACTAAGAGCAGCTGCAAACGGGGTTCCCACGATCATGCCTGAAGCTTTGCAAACCAGCTCAGGTGCTCCTACGCTGCAAACAGGGGGAGCTGAAAGGAGCAGTTGCATGTACTGACCTTCCTGGGAAGATTCTTACTAAGAACAGTACACGAACAGACAAGGGACTATGTCATTCGGATAAAGGGTTCAAGGAAAGAATAAGAAACAAAGTCCAATAAGGCTGGTAAGTAAGCAGGGCAGGTTGTCAAACTTTTGCCTTTAAAAATAAACTGCTGCAAGCACTCAGGGCTGCAGCTATATCCTGTCTATGTGTCTTGTCTTCTGTGTGTCTTATGTTCTGTGTGTCTGTGTTCTATGTTCATTCACTTCGTCAACTTAAAAAGGAATTGCTACAAAGTTCATATCAACTATTTCAGAATAAAGAAGTTCTAATTTGCTGAATAAATATGCATTGTTAGAGTAGTGCTTTCTCAGCTAGCTTGGACACCACTAAAAGGCATATCACCCAAAATCCCAACAGAAGTATCCAATATATGTGAAGCTGGAGGTTCAGCTGTGCCTGCAGGGAGCCGGTCCACCCCGCTGGCCTTTGGGCTGTGGCCACATCGGGCACAGAGTTCCTCGGTAGCTTATGGGCTCCTTGTCCATGGTCTGCAGCTGCAGACCTTGTGGCTGGCTGCCTAGGTCCATCGCCAGGTGGTAAAGGCAGAGGCACTGGTGAGGGTTGTTGCTCATTGTGTGTGCTGCCTGCAGGACCACAGGGCATGCCATTAGACTGACGCACCCTGGCTGCTCTCCAAGGAGCCTGAGGTGAGGCAGCTCCAGCTGCCCCAGCCCTGCTCAGCTGCCATGCAGAATGAGGAGATCACCTCTCACTGTGTTCCTAGAACTCCTCTGCAACACTGCAGTTAGCTCATGTTTTAAGACATTATTTCTAAGAATGTTTGAGTGACTGGCCCAATGCTCTAAAACCCTTGCATTAGTTTGGGCTTGTAAAACAAAACCTGGGTGGGTTATAAATAATAGAAATCTATTTATCAACATTTTCAAGGCCATAAGGCTGAGATCAGGGTGCCAAAATGGTCAGGTTCTGGTAAGGACCTCTTCAAGGTTGCACATGGCCAACTTTTTATTGTGTCTTCACATGGAAGAGAGGAGAGAGAGCTCTCTGAGGTCCGTTAATTTTATTTTATTTTTTAATTAATTAACTTATTTTTGTTACAATGTTTCTCCCCCCCCCCACTGATTCCCCCTGCCACTTCCCTCCCCACCGTTCCCACCTTTGTTGTCCATGTCCATTGTTCATACATACATGCATATAAGTTCTGTGGTTTATCTCCTCCCCCACCCCCTATTCTGGGGATTATCAGTGGGAAATGTACCCCACTTCCACATCTCTGGGACTACCCATTCTTCAGACTGTTATGTTCATTATATTCCACAAATAAGTGAGATCATGTGATATTTGTCTTTCTCTGCTTGGCTTGTTTCGCTTAGGATACTTTCCAGGTCCCTCCATGTCGTCTCAAAGGATAAGAAATCTTTCTTTCTTACAGCTGCATAGTACTCCATTGTGTATATGTACCCCAGTTTTTTTATCCATTTGTCTACTGATGGACATTTGGGCTGTTTCCAGATCTTAGCTATTGTAAATAGTGCTGCTACAAACGTGCAGGTACATATATTCTTTCTGATTGGTGTTTCAGGCTTCTTAGGGTATCACTGGGTCAAATGGTAGTTCAATTTTTAATTTTTTGAGGTAACACCATATTGTTTTCCATAGTGGCTGCACCAATCTGTATTCCCACGAGCAGTGTACTAGAGTCCCCTTTTCTCCACACCCATGACAACACTTGTTGTTTGCTGATTTGTTGATGGCGGCCATTCTGACAGGTGTGAGGTGATACCTCATTGTTGTTTTAATTTGCATCTCTC